GCCTCTCCTGCAACAAGCAATAAGCTTATTGCTTTAGATTAAGAACACATGAACTCCTGAAAATCTTGTTGTCTAAGAACAGAAGCATAATAAATATGGCTTGAATAAAGAACTTGAAACAAAGAATAAGCAAGATTAGCTTGGACTCTGGCATCTTTTGCTCACCAGTGATCTGGCATTACTAGCAGAGGAGTAAGGTCCTATGCATGGTAGGATTTTCTTATTTTAAACCCAAGCACAGTCTGAAAGGCCTTTATTTAGATCCAGGGCTAATGATTACAAACCAGAGACATATGAATCCTACTGGGCTTCACAGATGTGCAGGGGAGCACTGAGATAAGTGGGATGGTTGAGACTCCTGTATTTCCTTCCTGAGCACTTGCTGACTAAAAACACTGTATAAACACTGACCCCCAGTATACATAAGGGGGGAATGAAAAGAGGCTATTGCAATCATAGGGCAAGCAAATCAGGAGATATTATAGACAAGAACAAGATGAAACAAGGAAAAGAACTCACGGAAAGGGCTAGTGGGATAGAAAAGGACTAGTTTTGCAATTGACAGTGATCAATTTTTCCAGATTATTGCTATTTTTGGACCAGGAGTCCCATCAGCTCAGAGGAGTCGGCAGCAGGACCAGCAAGCTGTGTCTCTCCACACCATCCATGGGAAAAGGAGAAGAAAACTCCTCACCTAGGATGGTGCTTGCTGCAAGCTCCAGCAAGGTCACTGAGTCAGCAGCTTGCAGCAAGCACCATCCTAGGTGAGGAGTTTTCTTCTCCACTCAGAGCTGGAAAACCCCTAGAAAGGAGGGGGGGTTGGAAACACCATGGCCTGCAGGGTAGGTTTTAGCATAAGCGAGATGACTAACGCAACAAAGCTAAGATATAATTGAAGACAAATTTCAACATGCAAAGAGATCATCCCACACCCACCCGCCAAGCCCAGTGAGTATCTCATTGATACAGGCCAACCAGCCAACTCATAGGAGGGCCACCCACCTCAAGCAAGATGCCTCTGCCCATGGGACATGATGGGGAAACCACTGAAGACCTTTTCTATCTCCCTGGGCTGGAGAGCTTCTCCTTCCATCTCCTGCCCATGATCTCACCACCTTCCCTGCCCAGTTTCTGCATCTCAAACTCATCCCACAGGCTACTTCAGCTAGCTGCATCTAAAGTGTTTCTAGATGGTCTGAGAAAATCAGCTAACTTAAGAAGAAATCCTGCCTGTGAAGTTTTCTACCTATGATACATGTATAAAAGCAGCAAAGAACCTGGGGGCATTTTTGGACTTGTGGTGCTTGTTCAAAGCAATTTGTCTAAAGTCTCCTTAATAGAACTAATGCCATAGGACTGATCCATTCTCCGAAGCCCATATTAACTGGCAGCTGCATCCCTCAGCTGTCTCAGCCCTGCCATGCACCACAATCTCCTCTCATATCATGCCACAGTCAAAACCCCTCAGTTCAGGGTCACAGTATTTATCTCTTTACATTTTCAAAGCCTGGAACAAGAAACAGAATAATCCCTTTCACCAGATCTGGGAAGCACTGTGGCCTTCAAAGTCCCTTCATTTTGAAGGTATAAAGAAAAGGGGGAAGAAAGTCTTAAGAAGCCAACGGGATGGCATGATTAATGACTGACAGGAGGTGTTCTCACACTGTGGTACAATCAACACTTAACCTCATCACATCATCACTTCCCTCCTTCTCCACAGGAGATTTTCAAAGGGCATCCTGAGCATCTGCATAGGGACAGCAACAGCAGAGCTCAGGGAAGCTGCTGCTGCTACAGCACCACAAGGAAAGCTCTACATCTCAGACTAACATCAGATTTGCAACCATTTTACTATAGAGACTTTCATGTCATCATGGCTGTACCAGACTTTGCTCTCACTTGCTCTAGAAAAAAAAACAGAGCTGAGACAGAGCCCTCAACCCCTCCAGCCTGGCTTTGGGGATGCTCTGGGTCACTCTGCTGGCCCCAAAGCAATTGCTCTCAAGGTAGAGATAAACCAGACCAACATTTAGCCCAGGCATTTTTTATGACAGCAGAAACAGCCTTTGCTTTTCAAACCCCTCAGGACTGTAGCAGGAATTAGCTCATGGTTATTCACCACCATTTTTCAGAGCACCGCTTGAGTGCCAAACTTTGTTTGGTTTTTATTTTTTAAATTTATTCCTTGCTTTGTCATTCCCTCCCAAAGGGATCCATCTCCGTCCTCCAGAGGAACAAACAAGCACAAGGTCCCTGGGAGTGGGAGTTCGAGAGCATGTTCCAGGCTATTCCCCCTCCCTCCCCAAACACACAAATGCCATCAGCCCCTGACGTTCGCTTCGGCCCGAAGCCAGGGCAAGTACCCGTGCAGCAAGGACAGGGACCGTACAGGACACAGGGCAGGATGTTTAATCTAATCCCACTTCCTTTTCGGTTTTCAGGGACAAAGCAGAGGTCAGGCAGCCTGGGACATGACTCCAATGCTGCCCACGAGTTGTGCGGGGGCTCAGCACGAGCCCCTCTCTGCAGGGGCAGAGCAAATGCTGCTGCCGAGGTGTCCGTGCAGGACATGTACCGATGCATCCCAACCCGGGGGGAAAATACCAAACCACTCACTCAGCCTTGGCACAGGGACATGGTTCCCATTCGAGCTCAGGCTCTGCTCAAGTGCAGGCAAATCCACAGCAGGGCTTCCTTCTGCAAGGCTTGTTAAGCCAGGTCAGAAAAGCAACCGCTCTAACACAGCTTGTGCTCGGGCACCAGGGAGCAAGTGTGAGACAGTCCATTGGAGGCTCCCCACGGGACAAGACTGCAGAGCACTGGGTTGCAATCCTGGCCAAAACCCAGAAGAATTGGGCTAATGCACAGGGTTAAAGGCGGTAAACATTAAAGCAGGAACAGCTCTGCCCAACTAGTGCCTTCCCTTTAACACTGGGTCTCAAACCTGGGCACCCGTCCAGCCAGCAACAACAGCCATGAGCCCATCTGCTGGCAGGGAATCACTGTTGAAATCAGTATGAGCCTCCAGACATTTCAAAAAGCAAATTATGATGACTCAGGCGTGGAATAAAAAAGTGTGTTTTCAATTCATTGCTTTGATAAGTTTACAATACACTGATTAAATGACGAAAAGAAAAATCTCAGAGACAGCAGAAACTGAAACAGAAGCCAGACTATGCCTAGAAAACCTGATTGTCCTGTATTGATGTTACCAAAATGAGAATCAAACAGTTAACTCCATCAACTCGTTCAGGGAGCAGCTTTCTGATAAGCCTCACGTGGGCAAAACTCCAGGAAAGGCTTTGAATTTAGAAAGAACCACTTAGTTCAGTGCAGCACAGTCAGTGTAATTGCCCACAGGTTGTGACTCTGCCCACATGGAGCATCTTCCAGCTCCTTGGGATAGTTCTGCTAGCTTCAGTGGATCACACAAGCCAATTCACATTGTCCTTTAATTGACAATATTTATTCCGGGAGCTCTGAACAGTACACGCACACTGGAGCTTAAGAGGCATCCTACACACTTCCAGCCCCCAAGCTGCAAAAGTGACATTAAGGCAACAACAGCACCGATATCACAAGAGAAGCAACAAAGCCACAACTTGTCGGTGCGCTCGAAAGGCAGCGGCTGACGCTTTGTCTCCTGCTATTGCTGTGCAGCTACTGCACCACAAGCACGGGCAGTGCCTGGGACACCGGGTGCTTCCCAACTGGGAAGGGATTTCAGCCGCACCACCCTCCCCACGCCCCGTCTTGCAGGGCTTCACCTACAAGGTTATCGGTGCACTAAAAGCTGAAACCCAGAGCACAGCGCTCCAGGAGTGCTTTAAGCGTGCAGCTTGGCATGGAATAAGGATTCCCTCTGTTTTTCTTACTAGTCATGAACAGGAAGACTTACAAGAGATTCCTGAATTGACAGAGTGCAGGTCCTAAGCTAGAAAGCCACCCTAAAGTTTTTTTTTCTCCTTTCACATTTTGCCAATGGAGTTCAAATGAAAGCACTGTTTTCTTCCAAGAAAGGCAACAGCTACACTGCAAAAGTAGTCAGGAAAAGAGGATGATACCCAGGATATCAGAGGCTGTAACACGCGAACTGTGCCGTGTCATTCAATGCATTTCATAACACAGGACAGAGCCCATCAGTACATGATATCAGTGATTCTAGCCCAACTTCATGCACACCCTCCACTCCAAAGGAAACTGCACACATCAGGGACCCATAAGTGCCCAGCATCAACCCACAGGACACCCAAGTCAGGACCCCTGCTCACCACGGGGCTCCTCACCCCATCCCGAGGCAGATGAGGGACAGAGAGAGCCTGGGCCTCCCAGAACAAGGAGCAGAGGCTTGCGGGGCAACACTGGGAGGTTGTGATGGAAGGGTAGAAATCAACTTAGCAGGGGGTTGATGCATCCATGATGCATCCAAGGGGATGTCACCAGAAGAAGGGATGACCCTGGGGGGCACCCTGGTCTGCAGGGCAGCCTGGCAGAGGGCAGCACAAGGATGTCACCACGATGGGGGATGACCCTGGGGGGACCTCACAGGGGACCCCGAGGGGCTGCCACCAGGAAGGAGGATAACCCCAGGGGACGCCCCGGGCTGCACAGCAGCCTGGCAGAGGGCACCACAAGGATGTCACCAGGAAGGAGGATGACCATGGGGGGACACCCTGCTCTGCATGGCAGCCTGGCAGGGGACACTACAGGGATGTCACGGGGAGGGAGAGTGACCCTGGGGGGTACCCTGGTCTGCACAGCAGCCTGGCACGGGACACCAAGGGGCTGCCACCAGGAAGGAGGATGACCCTGGTGAGGGACACCCCGAGCTGCACATTAGCCTGGTAGGGGACAGCACAGGGATGTCACCGGGGGTGAGGATGTCCCTGGGGTACCCTGGTCCGCATGCAGCCTGGCAGGGGACCCCGAGGGGCTGCCACCGGGAGGAAGGACGCCCCCGGGGTGCCCTGCTGTGCACCGCGGGCCGGCCGGCGCCTCACCTGGATGTAGGCGCGCTGCAGGTAGCTGTAGGGCACCCTGCGCTCGAAGTCTGCGCGCACGTCGTCGGCGGCGCGGTGGCGCGAGGCGGCGCCCAGGCGCGGCTCCTCGCAGCGCCGCACGCAGCCCG